GATAGTCACACACAGAGAGAGAGAGAGAGGCAGAGACATAGGCAGAGGGAGAAGCAGGCTCCATGCACCGGGAGCCCAACGTGGGGCTCGATTCCGGGTCTCCTGGGCCAAAGGCAGGCGCCAAACCGCTGCGCCACCCAGGGATCCCTAAATGTTCAAAATTGAGCTCATAATTCTCACCTCATGTCCTGCCCTTTTCCATTGTTCCTCATCTCTGAGTGACAGCCCCGTCATGTAGTTGGACAGACCCCAAACCTAAGGAAAGATGTTCCTTCCCTTCATCTTCTCTATCTGCTAACATGTATTCAGATCCTGGTAACAAAATCCATCTAACAGTGGCTTAGGGTAAAAGTAAAGGGAATCCTCTCAGACATATCTAGAGTCCGTCTAAAGGGTTGGTGGATCGGGGTATTACTGAGGCCAGGCCCTTTCCATCTTCAACCCTGTTGACTCAGCCTGTCTGCTTCTGTCCTCGAGCTTGTTGTCTCATGATCGAAGGTGGTTGCCTCAACTCCAGGCAAAGTCTGTATTGATTGTTCTTCTTAAATTTTTATTGCAGCGACGTTCGCATAACATACAGTGAACCCCTTTAAAATTTACAATTCGGTGGCATTTAGTGCATGCACAGCGTGGTCTTAATCACCAACTATCTTTAGTTTCAAAACTGTGTCACCCCATAAGTACCCACTGGGTAATTACTCCCCTTTTGACCCCAGCCTCATCCCCTGACAACCTCTAATCTTGCTGTCCCTACAGATTTGTCTATTCTGGACGTTCCATGGAAAAGAATCAAATGTTATGTGACCTTTTTTGTCTGGCTGCTTTTACGTTAGTGTAGTGCGTTTGAGGTTCATACAAGTTTAGCGTGTTATCAGTACTTCATTCCTTTTCAGGGCTGATAATATTATATTCCATCCATACAATTTGTTTATCCGTTCATCTGCTGATAGACATTTGGCGTGTTTACACCTATTGGCTATTGTGAATTGTGCTGTTATTGTTTGTTTTAAAAAATTTGGGGGGAGGCAGATTGCAGTGTACCTACCACACAGCGTTACATTAGTTTCAGGTGTACAGCGTAGTGGTTCCAGCAGTTCCGTACATCACTCCGTGCTCATCAGGATCAGTGTACCCTTAATCCCTTCACCTGTTTTACCCACCCCTCACCCACTGTCCCTCTGGCAACTACCAGTTTGTTCTCTATTTTTTTTTTAATTTTTATTTATTTATTATAGTCACAGAGAGAGAAAGAGAGAGAGGGCAGAGACACAGGCAGAGGGAGAAGCAGGCTCCATGCACCGGGAGCCCGACGTGGGATTCGATCCCGGGTCTCCAGGATCGCGCCCTGGGCCAAAGGCAGGCGCCAAACCGCTGCGCCACCCAGGGATCCCTGTTCTCTATTTTTAAGAGTCTCTTATTTCAAAAAAAAAAAAAAAAAAAGAGTCCCTTATTTCTCATATTCCCCGTATGAGTGAATGCAGACGGCATATGTCTCTCCGACCGACTTATTTCACCAGCAGCATCCTCTCCATCCATCCATGTTACAAATGGCGAGAATTGTGCTTTTATGAACATACATGAACACATCCCTGTTTGCATACCTGTTTTCAGTTCTTTTGAGCCGATACCTAGGAGTAGAAGTAGTGGGTCATGTGGTTTAACGCTTTTTGAGGAACTGCCAAGGCATCTTCAACAATGGCTGCGTCATTTTATATTCCTGCCAGCGATGTATGAAGGTTCCTATTTCTCTACAGCCTTTAGAACACTTACTTGCATTAAAAAAAAATTATTGTAGCCTTTCTAGTGAGTGTGAAATGGCATCTTACTACAGTTTCGATTTGCATTTCCTATTGAGCGGTGATGTTGAGCATCTTTTCATGTGTTTGTTGGTCACTTGTTTATCTTTTGGGAAATTTCCACTAACGTCCTTTGCTCACTCTTTAATTGGTTTTCTTGTTATTTTGTCATTGTTGAGTTGCAGGAGTTTCTTACAGAGTATGAGCACTAAATCTCCCTCATCTATGTGATTTGCAAACATTTTCGCCCATTCTGTAGATAGTCCTTCCACTCCCTTGTTGATGTCCATTGTTGCAGAAAAGTTTTGAATTTTTATGAGGTCTAATTTATTTATTTATTTTTTGTACTAAAGGCTGTGGCATCCAATTCAAGAATCCATTATTGAATGAATGCAAGGTCATGAAGATTTGCCTCTGTACTCTCCTTTAATAATTTCAGTTGTAGCTGCAATATTTAGGTCATTGATCTATCTCTTAAGTATAGATACTTAAGTGGGAAAGTATCCTGGCACCCTTGTCAAAAATTTATGATCCATAGATGTTGGAGCCTATCTTGATCCATATCTATCCTTACGCTAATAATACTGTGCTGTTGTGATTACTGTAAGGCTACAGTTAAGTTTTGAAATAAGGAAGTAGGAGGCGTTCAACTTTTTCTTACCAATATCATTGTGGCTGTTTGGGGCTTTTTGCAGTTCCATACGGATTTGAAGATTGACGTTTCCATTTCTGCAATAAAAGCCATTGGAATTTTGATAGGGATTGCATTCAGTCTATAGATTGCTTTGGGGAGTGTTGTCTTTATCTAGCCTTCCAATTGGTGAACATGGATTGTCTTCCCATTTATTTGTATCTTTAATTTCTTTCAGCAACGTTTGTATTTGTGTCTGTGCAAGTCCTTTATTTCCTTTGGTATCAGGTAATGCTGGCCTCAAAGTTAAGTCGTCCTTCCTCTTTGTATTTTGGAAGGTTGAGTAGGATTGTTGTTCTTTCTTGAAATGTTTGATTGAATTCAGTGAAGCCATCTGGTCTGCACTATTATTTTTGATTACTGATTCTATCTTTTGACTTGTTACAGGCCTGTTGAGATTATTTCTTTTTGAGTTAGTTTTGGTAGATTGTGTGTTTCTGGGGATTTTTTCCATTTAATCTAGATTCTCAAATTTACAGGCGTACAGTTCATAGTACGTTTCATTTCTTTTAGGGTAGTAATGTTCTCACTTTCATTTCTGATTTTAACTACTTCCATTCTCTTTGCTTTTTTGTAATCCGTTTAGCTGAAGGTTTCTTAGTTTTGGTGACCTTTTCACAGAGCTGCATTTTAGTTTCTCTGATTCTGTCTTTGGCTTTCTAATCGCTATCTTATTTTTCTCTGTTTTAATCTTTAATATGTATTTCTCTCTGCTGGCTTTGCGTTTAGTTTGCTTTTCTGTTTTCAGTCCCATAAAGTGTGAAGTGAGGTTGTTGATTTGAGATCTTTCTTTTGTTTTAATAAAGGCATTTACTATAAACGACCCTCTGAGTTCTGCTTTCACTGCTCCTCATAAGTTTTTTTATGTTGTTTTTATTTTCATTCGTTTCAATATATCTTCTGATTTTCCTAGGGATTCTTTTTTTCTTCTTTTTCTTTTTTCCCTAGTGATTCTTCTTTGATCCATTGGCTATTTATGGTTATGTTGTTTAATTTCCACATATTTGTGATTTTTAGAAGCTGCAAGCACCTAACTAGACCTATGAGTTCTAAAATAGCGATTCTGATGGCTTTTGCCAGCTTGATATTGGATTTGGTGTAGGGACTGATTTCTGGAGCTTCCTATTCTGCCATTTCCTGTGATGTCACCTGTATTTATTTTTGTTGAGATAACAACGTCCATAGTAAAATGTTGTACTAACATATTCTAAAAAAATGTATTTAATTGAAGCTGATATGAATATAGCAAATATATCGAAATTACTTTTTATAAATTATTTACCCTTATATCTGTCCATCCCTTAAAATAGGATAGTTGACCAAAAGGATGAAAATTTTGCATATGTGTGTATATATATATATAGTTGCGTCGCTGTACATCACTACATTGTATCCTGTGGCTGTGCAGAGAAAATGACATTTCTTTATTATGTCTATAGTTAATCTAGTTTTTCCTCCTACTTACTACTCCCTATGGGAGATCCATTGGTTAGGGCAAAAATCCAGTACAATTTTAAACTTAGTCTAGTACAATGACTTAAATAGTGTGAGATCAAAATGTTCAGTCTTTTGTTTTTTACCCTGGGATGATTTAAGTGTGCAGGGTGTGGGGTGTGCCCTATATGATCTCCCCCCACCGTGAGGAACTGCTTATTTCCCTTAGTTTGATTTCTGCTACTTACTCTGGTCTCTAGAAGAATGTCCCATTACCTTCTAGATGTGTTTGCCTTGTCGGCATGTGCAGATGGTGTCATGGCTGGTGTAACTCGTGGTGGGCCTTTCTGGTTGGTCAGAGCCCGGTGGTGCTCCCTGACTGGTTCATCTTCTCTTTGGCCCCTTCTCTCTGAGCTCTCTTGGGTCACTGCCATGTCTGTATCTGGCGTGCTGGCCTGGAACTTCATCCACAGCCTTTGCGGAAGGATTTCCATGTTTCATGGTGGGCCCATAGGCCAGCCCTCTGGCTTGGGAATCTGAGTCTCAGAGTTTACATTACCTGACCATGCCTGGAAAAACCTTCTCTCAAGACAATGGCCTGGCCTGTAAGACTATGGATTTGCTATGTGTCTTTCTGCATATGTCAGAGGCTTCATTTTATTTCTTTACACTTCCTTTACTAGTAAAGCTTATTAACTCCCCATACAAATGAATGTTTCCAGCAGACTAAGGCAAAGGTCACAAACTTGGACAGGCAAAAGAACAACAAAAATAGTAATTTTCAAACACTTTGACTTTTGCATGTGTGTATATAGACCTATATGAGGATAATACTTACAGAGTCGTGTAATTCTAAGGGTACACAAGCCTTAAATTTAAGGAATATAGGATCTATAGAGAGGCGTAAGTGGTGTGTGTGTGTGTGTGTGTGTGTGTGTGTATGTAAATACTTACAGTTAAGATCTATATGTAGATATAATATATATAGTTAAGATGTATGTAAAGTTATTTGGTTTCTGTCAACATTTTCCCATGATTAAAAATGCTATGATTTAACACACTTTTTTTTCTTCTTGTAGGACCGTTCGTGTGTGGCTAAAGAGAGACAGCGGACAGTATTGGCCAAGCATATACTATGTGATGCCTTGTAAGTATCTCGATCTCTGTCTTAAAAAATCAGACATGGACCCCACCTCCCTTTCCTTTCCAGATTGCCTTCTCCATATCTTCTTGAGTAGGGATATCTGAGGGTTGGGATTATCATTTTAATGGAAAGTACCATATTAAATCATTGTAGCTCTCAGTATGTAAAATAAGAATATTGTTCTGACATTGACTATATATTCACAGTTTCTGAATAAGATTAATGGGAGAAGGACTACAGCACATAGTTATCTCAGATTATAGCTGTCTCCCTCTTTTCCAACTTTTTGTCTGACTTTTTTGTGGAGTACCTCCTTCAACATTTGAAATTTTGCCCTGTGATTACATTTGTGAAGTCAGTTTTTGCATTATTGTTATGTTACTCATTCAAATACAAGAGAGTCCACATGGACGATTTTTGTTCTCACAAGGATTTGCTTCAGATTGAAACATTCTAATGGGAGGTCAGTCTCATTTCCTCGAGCTCTTATACGCGATTTTTCCTCGAGCTCTTATACGCGATATATGTCCCTGTACTGATAAGTAGCTACTCTTTAAAATCTATTTTTAAAAGATGCATGTGACTGATTCTTAGATTTGTGTGCTGGCAAAGTTCTCCTATAGGGAGAGAAGAGCTGGCTCCTCAAAGTAGGAAATTTCTTTTTAGTCTGGTGTTTTATTATTAAAAGTTAATGAAGTGTGGGCATCCTATTCCATGTTTCTTTGAGTATAAGATCATTATTTAAATTCATTATTAGTTATATTAGGAAACATTTCCCTGAGTCCCCTTCCTTCCAATCTTAATTAAAATTGATACCCTAGCAACAGCCCTCAGGTTTGCTGTTTGGGCCCATAAACCCTCTGGCTTTCTGCAGTGTGCACCTCTTTCCTTGATAGAAGTATCCCAGTGTGAGAAGTATATACCACAGTGTACGGCCAAAATAAATTCATGCTAAATTGTAGATGAGATTAAGTTTATGCCTCTGGCAAAAGAATGCTGTAATAACTTCAGTAAGCAATTTTGCTTGTTTGTGAACAAATGAGTTATTAAGGATATAATGGTTTTCTGTGACTTTTCAAATCATCTTTGAGGTTTTGCGTGTCTTTAGAATTTTTTAGGAAATATATGGTGATCATGAAGCTGAACCAAGTGTTCAGCCCAGTATTAGGGAAGAAGAAACTTCTTGTAATTCTTATATTGGCTCCTTAACCGTTGTGCCTCCAGCAGACCGCATTATATAGCGAGAGCCCCAGGTGAACTTGACCTGTGGCAGTGCTGAGGGCTCAGGTAAAAGGAGAGGGAAAGGAATTCTCTGGTTGTTTTTTCTGATTTCGGAGTGATATAACCAGTCCTAGCTGTGATCTTGCTTTTTTCATCAAACTTGACATGCTATCTAACTAGAGGAGGCGGGGAAGGTCTTTAGTCCAGCCAGCTGAGAGTCGGCTCCAGACGATGTCACTCCCATGACCATGAAGACAGAGGAGAATCAGACCTGGGCAGAATGATGAGAGCTCAGGGATGGTGAGCAAAGAATTTTCTTGAGGTGAACACGAATAGGAACCTCATGGAGACACAGGGTCCTAAGCAATTGCTTATCTGCCTCTTCCCCATACACACATCCAAATGCATTTTTTGCTGTCACTCTCTGATACTCTCTTTATTTGAATGTCACTGAGAATACAGAGAAGCCTCTAGTTGCATTCTTTGTCATTGATTAAGCTGTATGAATAACTATGGGCTTGCTGTAGTTCCTACACCAGGCAAGTTGCTCAGTACGTAAATACTTATTGAAGACTTGAATCTGATAATAAAGAAGAGTACCTGAGAATATTATCAAACATTTTCCTAGTGATTGGTCAGTCTTTGAGGAGGAGGACCCTTTAGTTATTTGCATATTTTGCATATGACCTTCTACCAAAGGGGGTGAAAAAGGCATCACTTTGCTTAATTAAAATGTGTCTGGGCTAATAACCACATTAGGGTCACCTGAGAACTTACTAGAAATGCAGATATTGGGTTCCATGCTAGATCTCCTGAGTCAGAATCTGCATTTTTAATAAGATCTCTAGGTGATTGTATGTTAGAGAAGACTGTCTTCTGGCATTATAGCCAACATTATAGCCTCTGATCCACTTACATGTGTTTATATGAACACATAGAAAGCCTCATGCACCTATACTATTGATTTATAAATACACAGGTAAAAGTTAACATCATAAGTACACTTTCTAGTGGATCATTCCTGCATCCCTGCTCTACACAGGACACTGAGCTAGTTGCCAGGGTTTGCAGAGGAGTAGGTGCATATGGTCAAGACAATTTCCATAATCTTTCCTTGTTTGGTGGCTCCAATACCACGGAGAGGCAAAGAAAAAAAAAATCAAAATCAAAAGGCTGTGTTCATTACAATTGATCAGATACTGGCTTTTATGTTCCTAGGAATTAAGTGCGTTCGGATTACAGAGTAGCTGATCTTCGAGCAAGTGTCCGTTTTGTCGAACTCGAGAGAGGTGGAATCTTACTGCATAAGGAATTATGCTGTATTTGGGGGCAGTTAGAAAACCTGAAATACCTTTGGATTTCCAAAAGATTGTTTTGCATTTCTTTCTATTGAAAGGTGTTTTGTTAAGAGATTGCTTAGTAAACAGTTACGTGGTGTTAGTCACAAAATAAGTAGAAAGGTTGAGTGTATCTAGAGGCAGTGACGTGGGCATCACAAGGCAGATGTGACTGTGATGGGTCTCAGGTGGCGAGTAATCAGTAGTGTTCCAAATCTAGAGGAGAACGTAAAGTATCCTGTACATGTAATATATGCCTTATTTGTGTATTTTGTTCATTAAAATACCATTTAATGTAGTGTTTGTCATGTTTTGGGTAGGACAGTAATGTTTTGTAGCATTGGGAAGAATTTGATGTTTAATGGAGGGGAGGAAGCAGAAGGCTAAGGCGTCAGATGAGAAGGAACGGATGGCGAAGGCTAAGTGTGATGGTTGGGAGTGAGCCTGAAGGGCCGGGGAGGGTGAGAAGGCTGATGGATGTAGGGAGTGAGCAGATACATCATGATCAAAAACACACCAGCTTTGGGGATGTGTCCCCATTCCCTGTCTTGTCTGAGAAGCCCCGCTTCCCCTTTAGGTGGGAACCAGGAGAGACCAGACTTGCCTGCTTAAGGCTGTTTGCTCCTGAGCCAACCTGGTTTTCCCAGAATTTAGAATTTGGAGTAAGAAATGCTAGTTTCAGCCTCAGCTGGTCCCTTGAGCTGGGAACATGAAACCTTATAGCTGTGAGGCATTCGTGTGCATAAAGAAACAGTGAAAGCTGATCCGCTTAAAAGGAAGTATGAATCCGAGAGGAAGGGCCACTTGGTCAAGAGGGAGAGAAACCTAAGCAGGTGATGGCTGAGGGTTTTTCTCCTCCTCCTCCCAACCTTCAGAAGCCCGACTCTGCTTCTGCCTTTGAATTCAAGAGATGTGCCCATTAGTGCTTACATCCTCTCCGGTGGGTTTGTGGTACTCGAAACTACGAGTTTCTGACTCAGCCTCGCCCTGACTGTGTACCTCCCAATTCCTGTCTGTTCAGTTTCTCCTGGATCGCTCTGATCTCTAAGAGCAAGGACTGAGCCGTGTCCCAATTGATGCCACTGTGATGTTGAGCTGAAAATAGTCTGGGAAAAGTAAGGGCAAGTAAAGAAGAAAAGCAGAAAGACTTGTCCCGTTTAATTTCTTTAGATGGTTCAGTCGATGAATTTTAAATGTTTCTTCCATACTTAGCACGGTGCGATGTCCCAAGGATATGGTGGTTAAGTAGGACAGATGATTCCTGTCTTCATGGTGTGTACAGTCTGGGGAGGGGGGGGGCAGACCTAAAATAAACACCACTCACGCTGGGTGGTGTTATAACAGGAAACAGGCGTAACGGGAACCTGGTCACAAAGGTTCCTAAAGAAAGTCCCATTTAAAACCCCGCTGTCTATAGAGAATCTGGGGTGACTGATGACTGGTTTTGTACTTTCCTATGTGTCAATTTTTATGGATGAGTGAGAAATAAGAGCCTTTCCTTATCCAGTATTCTTTCAAAAAATAGTATCTTTTTGACGTATCTCATGTGATAGCTGCTTATTGCCTATGACAAGATCAAATTACAAAGTACCCAGCTGGGACCTGCTTGAGCTTGGAAGCTCCAGAGAGGTTTAGCCTTTCTGAGGGTATAGAGTTGAGGTTCCAGTCGTAGCCATAAATGATTATTTGTTCCGGGCTTCTGATAGGCACCATTTCAGCCACCACATTTGCATCTCTCTCTGCAGAGGGAAAAAAACAAAACGAAACAAAACATGGAAAGCATAGGCATTCCCATTTTCATGGCTGAGTTATTTTAGATTTACTTTTTTAACTAGGTTTGCCGTTCATGGGGTCAGACAAAGGGATGGATGGAGGAGAGAGATCTCAAGCAGGAGCCAGGACGGCAGGTGTTTGAGATTTTGTTTACTGTATTAAAGTGTCGGGCATCACGTCTGGGCGTCTATTGCCAGCTTTTCCCCCTGGGCACGGAGACTAGGTGGAGTGAATAGGGGCGTAAGAGGCGCGGAGCCTCGGGACCGAGGGTGTGCTGGACAATCCGAGAGCCTCTGTGGGTTCTGTGGCTGCCAGGGCTGGCAGGTGGAATTTACTGTGGCTCCCAAGTGTACGAATTTGTCCCCAAAGCAAAACAGTAGATGGTTTTTCAAAGGTACGAATCAGAGGTGCTCCCAACACAGCAGCAGAATGAGCTCTTCTTTCCAGCTCTGGGTCTTGGCCTGGATGGGGGGGGGCGTTGGCCAGCGGGAGCCGCGCGCGGGCCCCCTCGGTTTTCACACAGGTGCAGCCACTTTACCATTTGCTCGGCTAACTTAACGGATCGAATTCCGACCTCATTGAAAAACATAATTTTGAACTTCGAACTAAAAACGTCCTAGTTTTTATCCAAAGCTTGGTCGAAAGACTGTTTCTACGGAGGGCAGGCCGCAG